CTCTGCTGACTCTTGGCTCCCCAGATCTTTCTTCAGAAGTGACAAGCTCGTTGGCACAGCCCACATGAAACTGGAACGGCTGGAGAATGAGTGTGAAATCAGAGAGATCTTGGAGGTAGGGTGGGCAAACCAGAGGACATGGCAAGTGAACAGCCAACATTCATTGAACCTCAGTCCCATTGTAGGTTTTTGTGCCCTTTAAAAATATCCTCAAGTATGCTGTAGAGCAGGCGCCAGTTCCACTTCGCAAATTAAGAGATTCAGAGGGTCTAAGAAAATTTTAAATGTCACACAGATGGAAAGTAGCTGTATTCTTTCCACAACACTGGGTCACTCAGTTCCCAGGGATGTTGGATTATAGGTCCTTTGAGGGGGGTCTGGTCATTGCTATCGACTTGGCACACACAAATTCCTAGGGTTTTGGTGGGGGCAGTTATGGTTGGGGCAATCGTGTGGCAGCATGATGAAGTAGAACGAGCTCTAGACGTAAAGTTGATACGGGATTTCCAGATCAGGGACCCACCACAATAAAGCCTAGTCTTTGTTTAGGAATTGGCCCCAGACAGCTCCTTAAGCTTCAGTGAACTCATCAAATTTTACAGGCAGGGAGCTTACCTCTGACAGATGAGGAAACCGAGGTCCAGAGATGAGGTGTTACATAAGCTCCGTGTGTCCCTGGCAGAGTGCAGCCCAGACCCTTGCTGATGCCTTCATAGATGGGGCTTTTCCCACAATGATGTGCCTACCTGCTTCTGCCACCTGTTGGGGAGAGTTGTTCCTAAGTGGGCCCTGCTCTGTTTTGGCCACATACAGGGCGGTCAGTGCCTATTGTACTACTTTGCACTCCAGCTGTTTCCTCTCCTGCCCAGGAGAGAGGCTGCATGGTGGGTGAAAAGGAACCATTGGCTTGGGTTCTAGGCCTGGCCTTGCCACACTGTGGCTGTATAATGCAACATCCACTTCTCTGGGCATTTGAGCTTAGTGGTTTTCAGGCTGTACCTTTAAGCCAGAGCATTTCTTCCAATAGTTGCCATGGGGAAAACTTAGCAGAACTCTAGATTTCTAATCACCTCAGAGCATTGATGCTTATTTGGATTTTCATATTACTTTTATGACTTACCTAACACCAGCACCACCAAACAGCAGGATTGTCATGAAATGGAGACTCCTGCTTTGACACTGCAGGATGCTGTGGCTCATTCTTTACCTGTGAGCATAGGGAGCTGCTGCTCCCGTCAGTTACCTTCTCCTTCCCTCCCTCCCAGGTCCTGGATGGAAGGAAACCCACTGGGGGCAAGCTGGAGGTGAAAGTGAGGCTGCGTGAGCCTCTGAGTGGCCAGGATGTGCAGATGGTCACCGAGAACTGGCTGGTCCTGGAGCCCAGGGGCCTGTGAGGTGGGCAGCTCTCTGGGCCCTCAGAACTTCTGTCCCCTGCTCACGTCCCACGGGGACACTTGTAGTACTCAACTCACATCTGGGGAGAAAGCCTAAGAATTTCTCATCTGTGAGGATGAGCAAGAGGCAAAAACTTAGGGCTTAGGCTGAGTTTATGATCCTCAGTAGACCTGGGGAGGGAAGTTAAACCTTCTCAAGTCTGTCTTCAGGAAATTCTTTCTAAACTCTGCATATTCTCTGTAGTTTAGACTTACTTCCTACTTTCTATGCTTTGTGCCTTGTGATGGTCAATGCGGGAAGAGGAGTCAGGCCAGCAACTGTGTGCAGAAGCATACTTTTCACAGCTTTGCTGGCTACAGAAGCCTTTGTACATAAGGGAGATAGATGCTGCTACACAGACACCAAAGACTTACTAAGTACATGCATTATTGATCAGGGCTCTGTTCTTTCCTGTTGCTGGTCCCTCTCTGGGCCTCCACACCAAAGCAGGCTGGATTCCAGGAGGCTGCATTCCCCCTCCCTCTCAGCAAAGGCAAGGATAGCTTCATTATTTTGTGTCATGGAGTCTTGCAGCCCCTTAACCCCTATGTAGCAACTGTGTGCAGCTTACCCCAGCCTCCATTTGCAACATTTATGGATGTGCCTTTAAAAGATAACTGCGAGGGATGGGAAAACTTGAGCGTGATCGGAAACAGCCCTGCTTAGGGTGGCGGCAGGGTTCTGTGACTCCAGTTTGTCAGTGGCAGCCTATGCCACACAATGCAGTTTATCCCAGTTCTACCTGTGCCTGTGCCTTGGTTTGTGATGCTACTGCACTAGCTTCCATGCTTCCCAAAGCTCTCAGTGGAGGAGGGAAGTTGTATCTGGGACTGTGGTGGAAAGTAGGCAAGGTTGCATCTTGGGTTTGGTTCATGCACCTAAAACTAAAAGATTGCTTACTGGAGGGGAGAAAAAAATATACATGTATATAAATAAAATTTTATGTAGCCATCATAGGAGTCTTATACTCTATACACAGTGCAACCATCAAAGTCCTAGACAAAAGCCTTGTCACTTTTTAAAAACCAGAGTAGCTGTTAACATCTGACAGAAATGGCTGCTCTGGCTTCCTCTTTTGAGAGACGGCAGAGGAATCCTTGCTGCTTTAGCTGATCACCTAGAGAAACTCCTTCATTCCCAAGTTCTCCTTTGGCTTTGTTTCTCAGAATGGATGGTGAGATGGAGGGATTTACAGATGCAACAGATTTAATATTCAAAACTGCAATATTCTACACTTTTCAGAAGTAAACTTTAACGTCCCATCCCCACCCGCCTTTTGAAGCATTAAGTTCAGTAATGCATTCCTCAAGATCGTTTTTTAAAGGCTCTAAGTGAAGCAGATACATTCAGCTTACAGATCACTACAGTATTGCTTAAGCACAACTCAGAGACTGAATTTTCTGGGGTAGGGCTGGGCTGGCCTGTGCTTCCCTGCCCTTAAGAGATCTTTAGTGGATAACAGCATAAACAACAGACAAATGACTTTTTTCCAAGAGCTTTTGGCCAGTCTAACTTACCTATCAGAGTGAACTACCAAAATTTCCATAGATGTGAGGTTTAATACTTAATTGCAGTCACATCTGTGTCAAAAAGGCAGTAATCTAAAATGAAAAGGAAGGTTGTTAGCCTTCATAAGGTGGTTTAGAGCAAAAAAAAGGGTGGTCAAGAGGGTTCCTGACCCAACCTAACCTTCCCCTCAGGGTTTGCACCCCAACCCAGTACTTAACTAAGAGGGCCAGGATAGCTTTGGTTGTTATCCTTAAAGGTTCCAACCAGCCCTAGTAACTTCTAAACTCAGGCCTCTGCTGGAAATGCCCTATTCCAGTTTGATAAAAGTATTCTGTAGCTCACATATTTCCCTTCGCAACCTGTTCAATTGCAGTCTCCTTCACTGCTTGCTTTTAGGAAAACAACCTTCAGGCTGAGGGAGGCAAAACAAAGCCACCCACTGTACTTGGAGACCGAGGTTCTTAAAAGGCCTTTGTTTTAACCAAGGCATGCAGGGGCCACTAGCATGGGAGGAGCCTGACTAGTCTAGTCTTAGGATTTGTACAAGTGCAGCAACCAAATATGGAGATTAGTGACTAAGTGGGCAAATTGGGAACCAGCCACGACCCAAATCATTTTTAAATTTTAAATTCTCTCCCCAATTTAGTGCAAGGCACAATTTCTTCTAAATTAGTGAACTGAATAATATATGGAAGAAATTTTTCTTAGAATCAGAAAGTCTTGCTCACAAAGAATAAACTATTTTGTAACTTTAACATCATTTTCCTTTCTTACAGCACCACTCTGAAACCTGCATTGTTGTACCAAATTTTGAGAACTTGTTTTCCAAATTTTGCAGGCAGATCCGAAAAGATCTTGCCCATTAAATAAAGGCATCTTCTTTTAGGATGAAACTGGGGCTGAGACTGGTAGAGCCAGGTAACTTGCACCTGCACCTAGTCTACCTCCATCACAGATAGATTCTTCCCTCTCTGGGCCTCAGCTTCTCAA